CTCTTCAGGTAAACAAACGTTTTTCCATTTAAGGTTTTTTTCCAAACTGATCAAGCAGATGAACCTTCCCCACTTGTTTTCTTGGGTCTGAATGAGGGTTCTGCCCTGTTCATTTCGATATTTGTCCCTGAGTTCGATTCGGATCTCTGATTGCCTTTTGAATGAAATTTCTCCACCACTTCACCTCTTCGAGAGTTAAAGTCAATCTTGTCCAAGCTCCTCTGCTTCTTTCCGTCACCTCTTTCAAGCCATGTCCCTCTGAAAGAGTTTCCAGATCAAAAGTCTTCGCACCGATCGTTACTGTTGTCTTCGGAAGTTTTTTATCCATTAGTCTTCGCACCGATCGCTACTCTTGATAAGTTTGAATCAACAGAATTTCCATAAGGGACAGGAGGAACCTGTAGCCTGCATACATTAGTGTTCATGCTTTCTCTCTCTGCACTACTTTTTGGATTCATCAAGAGTCTTTTCTCTTCATTTTTGATTATACAGAATCCAATTTCTCTACTTTATTTTTTGTTGACTTTTCTCTTTTGTCTGTTCTATTTTGAGATTATAAGGACTAAACCTGTTCTGGGTTTCTCAAATTATTGTTTTTCTTTTGCAAAACATTCCCAGTTCCGGCTTTTATTTGGAGGCATTTCCTTCAGGCCTTGGAAGTCAGTTGGGTAATGCCAAATTCTGTGAAGGATCTGCTGTATCGTTGGAGAATTGAGGGCCTCAGCAAGAAAGGTACCTTGTTTTGGAACACTATTCCGGCTGCTGCTCTTTGGACCATCTGGACTGAAAGAAACAACAGAAATTTCCAGGGTAAAGCTAAATCTCCAGAGGAAATGGTGCAGAAAGCTGTGGGCAAATTACTGTCTTGGGTGTAGGTAATGGAGGAATTTAAAAATCAGAACATGCAATTGTTGTTCAGCTCTCAGTCTTGGATGTGTTTGTAATCTGAGGTGGCTCTAGGCAGCCTCTATTGGCCTAGGCTCCTTTGTATTGTTATTTGATTTAATAAAGTACCTTACCTTTTACAAAAAAAAAAGAAACTAGTGAAGGATTAAATGCAAAGTTAAGCTTATGGTGAAATTCCCTAGAAACAAAGGGTTTTAAAATAGGTAGGACTAAAATGGAGTATATGACATGCAAATTTAGTAATAATAGGAGTGTCAATCAGGATACACTTGGGATTGGAGACCAAGAGATAATTAAATGTGAGACCATTTCCAGTACCTTGGTTCAATAATTCATAGCAAGGCAGAGACTTAGGAGGATGTCACATTGTCACCCAAAGAATTAGAGCAGGTTGGGCAAAATGGAGGGGTTCTTCTAGACTTTTGTGTGATAGGAGAATGCCTCTTATATTAAAAAGAAAATTCTATAAAACAGTTTTAAGTCCAGCTATGTCGTGTGGAACAAAGTGTTGGGCAATCAAGAAACAAGATGTTTAGAAAATTTGTGTGGCAGAAATGCAAATGTTAAGATGGATGAGTGGAAAAACTAGAAAGGATAGGATCAGGAATGAAGCCATCCCTAGAAACCTAGAACTAGCTCCAATAAGTGATAAAATGAGAGAAAATAGACTATGATGGTTTGGCCACGTGCATAGAGGACCACCAACAGCTCCAATTAGAAGAAGTGATTTGTTACAAGTGGAAGGGGCTAGAAGAGCTAGGGGCAGACCAAAAAGGACATGGGTAGAAGTAGTAAGAAATGATTTAAGCACTAATAATTTAACAGTGGATATCATTTTAAATAGAATGGAGTGGCGAAACAGTATTCATGTAGCCAATCCCATATAGTTGGGATAATGCATGGATGTGAGACTTATCTGGGTTAAAAGAATTGCTAATGCCTTTGCTGATATACTAGATAGTTAAACAAGGGGTGGGAAGGAATCGACTGTTTTGGTTGGGCTCAATTGTAACACTGTTAATCTGTTGATGAGTGTTAAGAGTTTGCCTCTCCTTTATTATCTCTTCTCTTATCTGGGTTAAAAGAATTGCTAATGCCTTTTTTTTTTCAATCAATAACTGAATTAGTTTCATTAAAGATGATTGGAGAACTACAAGGAAAAAGAGGGAGATAAATTCTCTTAACTCTACCAGATCAAATGCAAACAAAAAGTAGTTACAACATATCCCAAAAAACATTAGTTCTTCCTTCCCCTTGTTTAGCCAATGTATTGGCCAAGCAATTAGCATCTCTCTTAACCCAGTTCAGCTTAACTTCCATTCCCTGTGTCATACACCTAAATTTCCTTTTTTCATTGATGTAGTCCCACTATCCCATCTCCTCTTCCTTTTGAAGCCAACTAATAACCAACATCGAATCCCTTTCAATTATCAACTTAGAGAGATTTAATTCCTTCCATAGCAGCTAGTATCTCAGCCCTCAAACAATCTCCAACGCCTATAGTACCTGAGAAAAGAGCCGTTATTCTGCCTTCCTCTTCTCTGAAAACTCATTCTATGCCCCCGGGTAACCTTCACTACTACCATCAAAATTCATTTTAATAAATCCATTGCTGGGGGAGACCAGGATGGGCTTGTGACAGCTTTCACTGGAGCAGAATCAGCCGCTTTCCTCCACTTTCTCATCCATTCAGCTTTCAAGAACAAACTATTGCTGTCTTGTGATCCTTTGAAGAGTTTGGTTTGGTTTTGGATTTGGGTTCAAGGAGACCATTGAGAGACCATGAAACAAATGAGCTGATTCCTTTTCTTAATTGCCCCAAGGCATTACCTTTGATACTTTGGGTACCAATGAGAGGGTGTGGATCCCTTCTGTCAAGGGTAAGTTGTTTATCATTCCCAGCAAAAGTGTTGTGGCCCAGTCCAACCTCACCTAAAGAAAAGATTTTTTGCTGGGAGGCTGCTATTTAATCTATAAGTACATATGAGAGACTCCAAAGAAAGTGGAAGAATTGGTCTCTTTCTCCCCATGTGTGCTATGCATCTTTTTCTGGAAGAATGGGGAGAGTGCCAACTGCCAATCACCTCCTTTTGCATTGTTCCTATGCTTCTTGGATTTGACTACATGTGGGGTGAGAGAAGCTAGAATTTTCAAGGAGAAATTTAAACGGGTGGAATTGATTGAACTTACAGTAAATGAGTGAGAAGAACATCAAATGGGGTGGCAGATGCTCTTGCTAATCAAGGGGCTGTGAGACATCAAATGTTTTGGGCAAAACTGTAAAGTTGTGATTGGGGGGAAGGATGTTCTCACCCTGTTGTAAGCTTCTTAATTAGCTCTAATAAAACATTCTCTTATTGATGAAAAATGACTGAACTTACAGTGATAAAGGCTGCACACTGGACCAATGTTTTAAAAATCATCATTGTACCATAAATTATAGAGAAAGTTGAATTGAATTGTGATTCGTGATTCATATTGTTAAATCATATGATAATTTCTGTTTTGCACAAACTTGTAAAAAAAATTAAATATAGATATGCTAAAGGCTAAATATACATGGAACAGTGATCCTACCCTATTTTAATCGATATCTATCTTATATGTACCTAAAACAATAGAATTTACCTCTAGAATGGAGTCTAAGATGATATAATCAATTTTGACTTGAAAGTCAAATAATCCACATATAATGGCTCTTTATCCAACATATGATGGAAAATAAATTTAATATATGGCTAAATAATGTAAATAAATGGCTTTCATGGTATTTAAAATAAGTTACCCTTGACAAAACAAAATGTAAACAAAACAAAATTACACTGTAGAGAACTAATTCTTAATCAAATTGATTTGAATCATACTGACCCTCGGGAATCGTATAAATTGTAAGATTTATGAATCAAATCATAGGATTCAATAAAAATTGTAAGATTTTTACAAAAAGGGATTCAGATATAATATTTGAATTAGAACCCTTGGGATTTATGATTCTAATTGTGAATTGTATCATAAGTTGACAACATTGCACTGGGCTTTGATCTGCAAAGAATTTGTGGTGTTTGTTTTTCGTAATGATTTGCTGAGTGAGTGGAATATTGTTGCAGGTTTTCAAAGTAGTGTGCCCCAAAGGGTGGTGGAGTGGTCTCCAGCATGGGACGGAGGTGTAAATAAACTTTGATGTGTGCTGCCTTGGGATTTGGGAACCCTGGGGAATCTGAAGTGGGGGGAGTGGTTAGGGATTCTGGTGGAAATATAATTATCAGTTATTAAGGTCCAGCTGGATTTGGAAACTCTTTAGGAGCCGAACTGATGACATTATTTGATGATCTAAAACACATGTAGAAGTGGGTGGGGATTGTTGAACAGTCATACAGTGGATGAAATCTCAGGACCTTATTCCATGACAGTTCAGACATATGGTAAGAATGACACACTCGCTAGGTGCCTCATTGACTACCTCTGGATCCCTAGAAGTGTTAACATGCTGATTCGTTGGCAAGAAATGGGGTTGGGAGAGATGGTTTCAAATGGGGCTAACCAGGGCTGGGCTGTAATCTGTAATTTGTAAGAGCTTCTTTCTTCTTTTATTTTTGCTCTTGGTTTCTATGGAAGAAGCTGTTGTAATTTCTGGCCTGCTGCTTTGTCTAGAGCAGTTGGTGTTCTGCTTTTTATTAATAAATTTTTCTGTTGTTTATCAGAAAGACAGAAGTTTTAATAGTAGTTTCCTTCACTATCAAGAAAGCTTGCCTATAAAACAGATTTACTAGTTTGTTTTCAGCAGTTAATGAATTGAGCATATTTTAAGCACTTTGTGCCTTGGTGGTGAGACTCCAGTCTAGAATTAGAGTTCATACAAGGTTGTGTTGCTCAGCCATCTACTCTCATTCCCAAAAACATATTCAAGCACTTACAGGTTGCGTACTTGGGTTTTTCACCATTCTGCATCATGTACCTTTTAATACACTGGTCTGGTAGAAAGATAAGCGATATTGATTCCCTCGTTCATCTTTCTTTATTGTCAATAATACCTTGTTCCGAAACTTTGAGTGTTTGAGCTGATGATCTCATAATTGTTATTTGTTTTTCTCCAGAATCCTCACTTGTTGATGTGTGGTTCTCCATTCACTGTTGGTCAAGGTCAACAATGCAACTTATGTTTGAGAGATCCATCTGTCAGTACAATTCTTTGTAAACTGCGGCACTTAGAGGTATAATGTTGGTTATCACTTAATCTATTTGGTAGACAATTTGCTTGAATTGGAGAAAATGAAATGTCGGGCAACACCAAGGTTCAAAATATTGATACGCCCGATACACCGGTAGTGGCGTATCTGGTTCAGAGAGGCCGATTTAAGGTCCATCCACCCTATGAACCGGTCGGGATCCTGAAACACCTCCTGTAGGGGCATATCGGGAAGCCCCTGATACGATATGTATCGGCCGATACAGCCCGATGCGTATTGATACTTTGAACCTTGGGCAACACTAGTTGGCCTTTGAATCCTTTCAAGATAACTTTCATAACAGTGTTGCTTGCTTTATTTTTACAGCGAGGAGGTTCATCTGTTGCATTATTGGAGATCTTGGGAAGCAAAGGTGTTGTCCAAGTGAATGGAAAGGTTGTTGGGAAAAATTCCTCTACAATACTCAGTGGAGGGGATGAGTTGATTTTTAGTTCAACTGGTCAAAATGCATATGTATCCTTTTTTTTTATTAGACATGCATATGTATCCTTTTTGACACTTTCTGAGGGAGATGACTAAGTTGTTCCATCATAGAATGGACTTCCTTCCCTTTTCATCCTCCTGTGTGTGTATGCACATGCATCATTGTGCTTGCATGTCTGTGTGGTAAGCTGCAGTATTAAATCAAAGTGCATCCTTAATGTATTTTCAGATCTTCCAGCAACTCACAGATGAGAACTTAACTTCTCCAGCTCTGCCATCTTCAGTTAACATATCAGAGTCCCAGAATGCTGTTGCAGGAGCATCAATATTAGCATCTCTATCAAATCTAAGAAAGGATTTGTCACTTACACCACCTGCCCAAACTGGTGAGGAAGTACAACATGATTTGGAGAGGCAGACATTACCAACTGGCTGTATCCCAGACATTGAGATTACTTGTCATAATAGAAAAGATATTTCTGAGCATGTTGAGGAGACTGGTGTTTCTTCAAGTGAGAAAGCTCCTGTTATTCTATCTCCTGATAATGCTTCTGATAACCCTGTTCATCTTGATGGCGCTGGCTTAAATACTCGCCTAGATGCAGAAGTTGGGAAAATTCCTGGGACAAATTATGAACTAAGGCCACTATTACGGATGTTGACAGGGTCATCTTTGCCCGACTTTGAACTAAGTGGAAGTGTTTTTAAATCAATTGATGAGCAAAGGGAAATTCTCAAGGATTTTGGTCGACCAACAATTTTGTCCTCGACTAAGCAGCAAGCATTTAAGGATAGTTTACGACAAGGAATTCTCAGTTCTAGCAATATTGAAGTCTCCTTTGATAATTTTCCATACTATCTAAGGTAAAAGGCTGCATTACGTTCTTGGTTTTCTCAAGATTTCTTGGAATCAGCCCTTTTTGGTGGGTGAAATGTGTTGATCTCAATTGCTTCATGCTTAACTGATGCTCTGGACTTAAGATCTCGGTATCATTAATTATTGCTTTATTGCATGGTTGACTTGTCATTGATTCTGCAATAGTTATGTTTTTTCTTGCTACTTTGTTCTCGTTTTGTAGATCAAGCTTGATTGTGAATATGTTTTTATTTTTAAAATTTTCCAGTTCTTTGCAGAGGATTATTTTGAGGAGCTCATTTTTCTTATTATTCATTAGAGCATTTCTTATTGCAATTTATGCTCCATTCTTGCCTTAAATCATTGCTACAAATTTGGCATGGACAATCTGGTTTGTTTAGAAAGCTAGTCTTCTTCCATGCTACCTGCATGAAGGAAAACGAGCAGGCCAATGGATGCCAGCATGAACTTCCTTATAGGGGAGGAAAAGATTCCCGACAGTAGTTATTACACTGGCTGCATTTTTTTCTACATGTATAATTGAGCTGGCAAAATTAGTTTTTGTTGTGTCAGCGGGTCAGCGTGCTGTCCTAACAGTGTTAAAAACCATGCTGTATACCATTATGTTAAAAGGGACTGAAAAGTGGAAAGTAATTAATTGTAGTTCGACAGTGATAAAAGAGAGAATAGGTGAAGGAAGAGAGAAGAAGAAAGAGAAGTTCTATTCAGTAGTGTGGCTGGCAGCGCCTAAGGTAATATTTATACTTAGGGCGACAACTTACAACAAATAACAAAGAAAAAACCAAAAATACCCCTACTAGTATGACACATGTTACAACACTCTCCCTCAAGTTGGAGCGTATATGTCAATCATGCCCAACTTGTCACACAATTCATTATGTCGCAAATAGCGAAGACCCTTTGTAAGGACATCAACTAATTGTTCCTTGGAACTGATGTAAGGAGTACAGACTTCCCCCTTTTCAAGTTTTTCCCTTATGAACTGCTTGCCAACTTCAATATGCTTGGTCCTGTCATGAACAACTGGATTGGCTGCCTTGTTGTCACAGTAGAGAGACATTGGACCATCAACCGAGAAGCCCAACTCTCCAATCAAATTTTTTTACCCATAGCACTTCAGCAACTCCATGTGCCATGGCCCTATACTCGGCCTCAGCACTAGATCTGGCCACTACACTTTGTTTTTTGCTTCTCCAAGTGACTAAATTTCGACTAACAAAGGTACAATATCCACTATTTGATTTCCTATCATCAATTGCTCCGGCTCAATCTGCATTTGTGTAGACTTCCACTTTCATATGACCATGTTTCTTGAATAGTAACCCAATTCTTGGATATTTCTTTAGATATATGAGTACTCTCTCAGCTGTCTCTAAATGAGAGAGTGTTGGTGCATGCATAAACTAAGGACACCAACAACATTAGGCCGAGTCATTGATAGGTAGAGAAGTCTTCCTACCAACCTTTGAAACTTCTCGACATCTGTCATTGGTTCTCTAGTACAATCACCAAGCCGATGGTTTTCCTCAATAGGGGAATCTATAGGTTTTGCTCCTAACTTTCTATTGTCCTGCAAGAGATCTAGGACATACTTCCTTTGAGAAATGAAGATGCCCCTTTTTGAGCGGGCAACCTCAATACCAAGGAAATAACGTAGCTGTCCCACATCTTTCACCTCAAATTGCATAGCAAGGGATTCTTTAATTTTCTGAATTTCAGAGTCCCAATTCCAGTAATCACAATGTCATCAACGTAGACAATCAATACCACAACATTCTTTTGGTTTCTTTTGACAAACAGAGTATGGTCAGATTGGCACTGCTTGAACCCAATTTGTTGAAGAACCAAGTGAAATTTGCTAAACCAGGCCCTTGGGGATTGTTTCAAACCATATAAAGATTTTTTTAGTTTGCAAACTTTCCCTTCACACCCTTGTGCTACAAACCCAGGTGGCTGAATCATGTAAACTTCTTCTAGATCCCCATTAAGAATGCATTTTTGATGTCTAGTAGGTGGAGTTCCCAATCAAAGTTAACGACCAAGGATAATATAATCCGAATAATGTTCATTCTAGCGATTAGGGCAAATGTTTCTACATAATTGACCCCATACACTTGTGTATACCCTTTTGCAACTAACTTGGCCTTGTACCTCTCAACTGACCCATATGCTTTGTGCTTTGCTATGAATACCCACTTGCACCCTACTAGCTCCTTGCCCTCAGGAAGATTCACCAACTCCTAGGTGTTGTTTTTGTGTAGAGCACCCAATTTCTTCCTTCATTGCATCTGTCCATTCAGGTATAGATATGGCTTTTGCAACACTTTTGGGATTGGAAACACAATCAATGGCAGTCAAAAAGGCATGAAATGAGGGTGCGAGATGCAAGGAAGGTCATGATGGGAAGAGGAAGCGACAAAGAGTTTTAGGCGGTGAATAGGTGGAAGACTGAACTGGACATTGAAGTGAAGAAAATACTACTGGAGAGCGGAAAGGCCAAAGGTAAGAATCTATTAAAGGTAAGAGAAGATAGGAGGGCGATGATACCTTTGTTTGAGGAAGCAGTCCTTTGGTTGAAGGGGTTTATCGATGGAGTACTTCAGTTGTTCAAAACTGTAGGGTGGAGAAATGGAAAGGAAGAAATATGAAGTGGAGCTGAGATGCAGCAGGAAAGGATGGTTCATTACCATCATAGAATATTTTGGTGACCGAAAACAAATGGTTTGCTTACCGGAAGGGAAGTAAACGCAAGGTGGATAACTTTTGTGGATGACTTACAGAAGTTTCTTGTTGCGGTTGACAATCCCCTACAAATGGAGCATGAGCAAGAACAGAGCAAAGGTGATAGTTTCCCTAAGTCTTCGAGCCAGGCCTTGAAGCAAAGTTTACCTGGCTGCGGAAAGGCAATAGCAAGCTCAAACAGGGGATTGAAAGTCTGGTTTGAGGCTGAGCAAGATGAATGGGATAGGAGAATGGTTATTACAACCAGCACTGATAAAAAAAAGGTTATTACAACCAACACTGATAAAAAAAGGTTATTACAACCAGCAAGGACATACAAGATTGGAGGAAGCTGTTGAAAGCTGTGGTGAACAACCTGAAACTGGAAACTGAGGTCGCCTTGAAGCCTTTCACAAACAGGAAGGCAGTACTGAAAATCGATGATGGGGTAAATGAGGGATTCACTGCATTTGAAGGTGAAGAAGAGTTGGTCTATGTACAAAACTGGAAGTCGTTGTGTAATGAGATATTACATACCAGAGGAAGTTTCATGCTAAAAACGGTTGGACTACCCTTCCATCTTTGGAACAAATCAAATTTAGAAAGTATAGTAAAGATGCTGGGTGGGGCGATGGAGGAAATCAAAATGCAAGGTTATCGAGTTGCAGAGCTAGGATTAAGTGGGTGGAACCAGAATCACTCCCAAGAACAATCGAAGTGTTTGTTGATGAATTTTGGTACAAGGTTTGGCTGGTCTCAGAGGTATAGGCGGAGCAATGCACCAGGTAGAAGAAGAAGGTGACGTGGCGGGCTGGTTTACATGTGGCAAACAGATGTTGGAAATGGAAATGGAAAACCAACAGACACACAAATGGAAAACCAGAGGTCTAAAGGGGAACCTAAAAAGTTGCAAATGGAAAACCAACAGACACACAAGCCATTTAAAGAAAAAATTTTGAAGTATTTGGAATTTTAGGGGCCCGAGCTTCTTTTGCTGACATGGTCAAGAGGAGGGATGGACCAGTTAAGGTTTTGGTGCGGCCCGAGCTATCTAAACCAGTAGGAGGACTGGATGGTCTAACCAAGAAGTTGAAATTTAGGCCATGTGATTGTTTAAGTGAGCATGTGGCCCAGGATAAATCGGTGGGGATTATAGATGACAGTTTGCGTCTATTTTCTTCCTTGAAGAGGAACTTTGGTGGTGCTTCAGTCTCGACTAGGTGGACTGTGAAAACTGTTGGCTCTTTACAATGGATCCCTTGTTTAGCATCTGAGACACCTAGGGAAGGTCAATCAGCACAGCACCGACCAAATCCCATGTACGCAAGTGATTGCGGTGAGGAGGAGGGAGTTGACAAGGACTAGGTAAACTGTCAGTTGGAAGACCCAGAACTGGAAGAAGACTCTCACGAACAGTCCAACATAGGAAGTGTCGGGACAGACAAGATGTTAGAGGAAGATTTGGCAGCAACGTCAAATCTCGGCACCCTGTTTACAAAAGAAGCAACAAAAGGAACTTGCACAGAGTGGCTTCTACATCGTGCGAATTTTAACAACAGAGCACATCCATAATGTTCGGGGCGAAAACTCCAACTCTTTCTTAGAAGCTCCATCACCAAAACTTTTTGACGGATAGGAGGGTTGTAAGGAAGTATCGGTGACTTCCCAAAAGCAAAGAAGAGATATAGTAGTGAGGGACAAAAAGATGGGTCAAGGAAGGGATCACTGTAGAACAAAGGAGACAGGAAGATAAACACTTCAGACCTGGGCCAAGTAATTAGTTGACTATCACACACCATATTAGGATTTGACATCTTTTGCCTTCAAATCTCAGTATTCCTTTCCTTTCCAGCAAAACCCAGGTAACTGTGTTCGTTTAGTTTATGTTACTAATGCTTGCTCTGTGTCTTGTGTGCTAGATACCAGTCCCAATTCAGAGACTGCAACCTGTTTATGAGGGGCAGGAGCAAGTAATAGAAGCCAGAGGTAGGAAGGGTCAGGAGAGGGAGGTAGGAAGAGAAGAGGAAGCAAATAGTAATAACAGAAATCTGGATGACATTGAGAACACGATTTATGAAGTGCAGGAGAATAAACCTCAGAAGGAAAGGGTAGAAGAGGTTCAGGTAGAAGGAAGTCAGGAGGAAGAAGGTAGAGGTGGGCACAAAGGTTAGGAGGAGAGAAATAGAAAGACAGACAAAAAAGAGTTGGCAAGTGAGGACTCTGTGGCAGTATTCGTATAGAAGTTGAGATGTAAACTGAAAGATCC